GTTCATTTATTGTAAAACATCGTTACAGTATTGGTATCTTAATTGGTTATCATAATGTTTAGGCTTTTTGATGTTGAGAGACATGATTCTCTCATGTCTACTACTACGAATGTGCGAGTTGTTCCGCTTCCTGGTAACATCGCTTATATTGAATTAATATGTATGCTATATTAAATATTGAATTATTATTATTTTTTAGATTTTACAGTGTATCCACCAAACGTTATCATCGATCATACCAACAAACCTTTATTACAGAGAATTTTAAAATTATTATTCTGGCCTCGTGCGTACGCACTTACAGAAGACGTGCATTGTAGCCCATTTCTTCGTGTAATCTGTCGTGATAACAGCGCAGCACTGTTTAATAATCCAGCAATTGCAGCAGTAATCGACTATAAGTGGGCATCTGCACGTGATTATTGCTTACGTCAGTTGGCTCACTTCCTTATTTTTGCGCTAATATTTTCAATTATTACTGGGTTAATGGAAGAAGAAATGTATTTAAAACCCAATGTGGACCCTATTTTACATGTGATCTTTCAATTAGTATTTTTTTATCTGGGCTTTTACTTGCTTTTTACCGAAATTATACAACTTAAACATGAAGGGATTGTAAAATATTTTACTTTGTACAATTTTTTTGATTTTATATCTTGTGTTGCGCCAATTTGCTTGATGATTACGTCGGATATACTAGTTCTTACGAATAATGGTAATAATTCAACTTTCAATAAAGTGTATAGTATTTCATTGGCATTTGTCACTCTCATAATGTGGGGAGAATTCGTATGTATGCCATTTATTAAAATTTTTTTTTTAATTACTCTAATGAATATTATTAATTATAACTTCTTTTTAGTTTTTGATGTTCCGATTCTTTAAAAGTATTCTATTTATATTTTATTATTTATATATATATATATTTTATCTATGTATAACATTTTATATAGCGATAGCATTATTCTAAATAGGATATTATAATTTTATCATATTGCTTATCTAGGACCCGCGAGTTTTATTTATATTATTTTGAACATTTTGAACACAATTTGGCCATTCTTGGCATTTATGCTAATAGTCGTTTTTGGTATTGGTCACGCGATGTACGTTCAATCCTTGTTCTCCTATTATTCCTATTATTTATACTATGTCACTCATTATTTGCATTTTCACTAATTTATATAGGTATATTTTACTACGAGATCCAAACCGAATTAATCTAGTTCCAAGTGGATCATCATATTCAATCTTAAATACTTCAGATACAAATACAGATACAAATAATCTATTTCCTGATATAACAGTTTCTCAATCAATTGATGTTGATAGTGTCACTGACAATTATTTTTCTCATTTTTGGAAATCCGTTGAAAGTGTATTCTTTTGGATTACTGGAAGATGGGATCAACTTGACCAATGGAATTTTATACCTCTTGACATTTTGGCTATTCGTAAGATTTTTATTCTGTAAAGAAAAAAATGTGCTGGAATGAATTTCTTTAAATTAATTATATATTTATATATATTTGAATAGTTGCAAGCATTTTACTTGTAATGATCATGCAAAATATGTTGATTGCGTTTATGACGTAAATATATATATTTTTTGTGTATGAATTTTTCGTGTGTGAATTAACGTTAATCTAACAATAATGCAATACTTATATCTTGTGAATTTATATAATAGAAATGCATTCGAAGAAGCACAATCTTCGAGTGAAGTTGCAGTTTTGAGACACCGAGCTGGCTTAATTGCGGACTTTGAAACTCTTGAGAAACCGCTTGGAATGACACGTGAAGATCGACGTTATATATATTATATAGGAAAAGCCAATTACCAAGTGGCCTGGCTAGAAGAAGCTGAAAATTATCGATCAACCCATCATGCTTTGCTAGGTGAAGAAATTGACGAGGAGGCTAGCGATGAAGATAGTGATGATGATTCTCAGAAAGAAAAAGTTAATGATAAAATGAAAACCTCTTTGAAAGTTGAAACAGAGACTAAACCCAGTGATGATTTACAAGAAAGAGTTCAAGGAATAGAAGATAAAATTGAAGCAATTTTGGAGTTGCTAAAAAAAAGTGATACAGTCGGACCTCCCTAAATGCAACCTCCCTAAATGCATATATATGATAAACCTCCCTAAATGCATGTCTTTTCTTGGGCCCAACTAATATAACACTTATAGATTTTTACCTCCCTAAATGCATAACCTCTTTAAATGCATATTTTCTCAATTTTTTACTATGGTCCCGACGTCATGCATTTAGAGAGGGCTGACTGTACATAATTATGTTTTGTACTTAATTCCCAAAATATCAAAGTTTTTTGCAATGTATTTAGAAGTTTATAAATAAATTCCATTACTATAACCTACACAACCAAATAAAAAACGAAATGTGTGCAACTTGATCACATAAGATAAACAGATTTACTAGTTTGCTAAATATTTTCATGTTCAAGCTTCCTAACCTTTATGTTCGAACCTAATTTCATTATATCGTAATAATGTACTCTATTACTTCAGTTTAAAATTTTAAAGACACGAACAATCGGAATTAATTCCGTTTAATATATTCAGGCGATAACGATAATCTGTGCTCGGTTTATGGTCACGCGATGATTGTCGTACGAAATTCATATACTCGACCAATCAAAACTAAAGCCCTCTATGCTCCACACACTATCATGTACGTACGTACGTACGTACATACGTACGTACAGTAACTTTTTGGTGGCAGGTGGCAGGTGGCGTCCAAAATCCTGACAAACAAAATCCGGATTTTAACTGTCGGGATTTCGGCTGTCGGGATTTTTAGCTATCTGGATTTTTTTGTCGAGATTATGACCTGTCAGACTTTGTTTGTCAGAATTTTGATACAAACCCTTGGTGGCGAGCGCTATCTGCTCGCAGATCCGCATTCGGCTTCAGGATCTCTAGCCGAACCGTTTTTAGAACTGATGTTTATTAGTAGACTATAGTCGAGCCGATGATCTCGGCTAAAGCATTATTAAGGTGTTTGGATATGAATATCTGTTAAATTTTAATACGAAACGAATAACAGATCCAAGCTCCAATCACTAGGAGTTAACTAAATAATTTTTTTTAATTCATATTAATAAATTTATATATATAATTTAGTTTATTAACTCATTGTATTTATAAGTAACAGCAATGGTGTATGAGGATATGTCCTGTGACTAATATTTATAGAACCGATGAAAATGAAAAATCGAACTTAGGTACAGTAGGCATGAAAAAGATCCGGATGTAACTGTAAATCTTTCACCTTTTATAACTCGAGAATGATTTTACAATTTCGTGTTTAAAACGAATGCTACAAACTGTAGAATTTGTTTAAACTCAAGATAATCGAAAATGGATCGAAATATGACCATTAAACAGTGATAAATGTTAAAATTAGAGTCAGAAGTCAATGCAAATAAGCAATTACTCTATTAGTTTAATGAAGATATTTGATAAACGGTCAATCCGTTTTCAATAATTTGGGTCTTAAATGAATGCTATGAATGTTAGCATTCATTTAAGTACAAAATGAATCAACAATTTTTGAGGTATTAGTGCATTGTATAATAACATTTCGCAAATGGCAAATCCGTTTTCGATGATTTTAGGCTTAAATGAACCTTTACGTTTATTGCATTCGTTTATATGAAGAAATGGTTTAATCATTCTTAAAGACTGAAAACATTGTTGCATATTGTTTTTCCGGATCTTCTCCGCATCTATTGTAACATAAGGAAAAGAAAGATAACTGGCCAAAAAAATTGATGGAATAATCAACTTGAGAATTTTTGATCGGAATGCCTATTTGGAAATTTAAAATGCCCAAAACGCTTGCAATATGCCTGCTGGGAATTAATTCTTCATAATAGTTTAAAACTTTTATAACATATATACCGAGGGACGAGCCATTGCGCAGGCTGTGCCGAATTTTTGAGATTGTACAGTGTGGTTTTTATATCAGAAAGTAACCCAAAATAATTCAATCCTTAATGTAATAAATACCTTATTAATAAAAAAAAGTTTTATTTAATTAAGCATGTCGTTATCAATTTTAAGACATTTGAAATTAACTGTTAGATCACAATCTTTCCACTCATATTTAATTAATACGTACCAATCAGTGTAGAGCCTGTAAATTTATTATATTCAAGACTATTAATATGTCCCTCAAAAATAACCTTTTCACGCTATTTTTTGTTACGTGGCTTCTTGTACGCAGTAATGATCTTTGCCAAAAACGTGCATACGTACTTTGTTAAGATGTGTTACAATACGTAACAATGCATTTCGATTTAAAATATAAAATGAACGTTACGCAATGTAATTTCAATGAATCCCATATTTAACATATTCTTCTTTGAACCAAAATGTCAGTTGTAAAGCAATCAGAAAAAAACGACGATTCATTAGATATTACACAAATATCCAATGAAGTTAATAAATTGTGTTTAGAAGATAATAAGTCACAGGAATTTCATAATGAAATTATTGAAGAAATGTGCAATATATATAAAGAAGAAAGATTGAAAGGCGAAGGCTCCAATTTAATTCTTGACACAATAGAACAATTTCTAGTAAAAAAGAAGCAAACTCTAAATAATATTATCAAATATTGTTTAGATAATCCATTTGATCCCAAGGTTCAAATTGTAATTGCAAGTTGTTATTTTTATGGTAAATGGGTTGAAAAAGATGAACGTAAGGCATTCATTTATTATCAAAAATTAGCAGAGATGGGTAATTATAATGGAATGTTTGGAGTAGGATATTGTTATCAATATGGACTTGGTGTTGAAAAGGATGAACGTAAGGCATTTACATATTATCAAAAATCGGCAGAGATGGGGGATGCTAATGGAATATATAATGTTGGATATTGTTATCAAAATAGAATTGGGGTTGAAAGAGATGAGCGGAAGGCATTCGATTATTATCAAAAATCAGCAGAGATGGGTAATTATAATGGAATATTTGGAGTTGGACATTGTTATAAAAATGGAATTGGGGTTGAAGAAGATGAACATAAGGCATTTATTTATTATAAAAAATCAGCAGAGATGGGAAACGAAAATGGAACACTTCAAATTGGATATTGTTATCTTCATGGAATTGGAATTGAAACAGATGAATATAAAGCATTTATTTGTTATCAAAAATTAGCTGATAGGAAATGTAGACAAAAAAAATAAAGATATTATTAAGATGCTTTGCAAATTTCTGTGATCAGGTCTATCACATAAAAATCCAGTTTCAATTCTTTACCGCTAATACAGTATATCACTTTATATTACAATAAAATTTTGGCCTAAATCTTTACAGACATTGAGCAAAGATATCTTGATAATTTTCTTTTATTGTCAATATTTGAAATTAATTTATTAGTAGTTTCCGAAAATGGTCTTACACATTGAAATATACCGGTCATAATTAAGAAATCTTTAATCAAAACATGAAAAAAACATGGACAATATTAGAACTTTTATATAATGTAACTAGAAATTGCACAGAGGGTTTCCGGAGCGTAACGTAGCGGAGGACATTTTATGAACGAGTAAAGTGTTACTAAAGTTCGTTTGTGATGCGTAAAAAGTTCCGCATGCGCGATGATATCTTCGGACAAGTAATGCTGCACACTATCCTAGTAATTATATATAACATGATATTTTACCAATTATTGATAATTTTGTTTTTATATAGCACTCGGACACACTTCACTCAAGAAAAAAGATCCGTTGTTTTTAGATACCGTATAATACTGGTTTTTAGATACCGTATAATACTGCATTTGTGCATTAAGTGTATATTAATACAGTAATATGACATTTTAAAGAAACATTCAATTAACCATAATTAATTCCGATTTGAAGAACTAATTATAACTAACGTTCGAGGCGTGATAAATATATGATTAAATCTTAGTGCGTTCTCAAACGCCTTAATCAATGGGTCAAAAAGTGTCGGCGAATAAATTTTATTTGGTGGAAGATATTTTAAACGGGGCCAAGTGCGTTTGTCACTGTGAAGAATATTTACCGTATTTCTGCGAAATGTGTACCCGGGGTATTCCCTAGCTCATATTATGTACCCGGGTACTCGTGTAGGAGGGATATACCCAGGGTTGGCAATGGAGTTCAATGGAGCCCAATGGAACTGCGAATGGAGCCAATGGAGCTCTGAATGGAGCCAATGGATACTAGTTTTTTTGAGCTCCATTCGCATAACCATTGAGCTCCATTGGCTCCATTGCCAACCCTGGATATACCGTATGAATACTTCTATGTATTTAATATGTTTTACTATTACTTGCCCGGGTATAAATCAAGATTTGGCAGGTACAGCCCTCAGAGGGGTACACATGTCGCAGAAATACGGTAAATAATAATCGTAATTTGATAAGGCTTATTATGTGAATAAAATATTTTTATTAGTAATAAAAAGTTATGTGTTTGTTATTTCAATTTACAACCTTTTGGGCGCAAACCATCTTTTTTATATACCCGGCTTGTCAAAATTTACATTAATTGAGTATTCAAATTATTATTACATTAAAAGTTTTTATAAAAAGAAAAATGCCAGAAACCCCCCACAAAAAACAATTCCATTAACAAATCTTACTATTTCGCCAATATTTCTCATTTCGTATAACAATCAAATATCAACGAATACCTAAACCTAGCGGCGACGACACTTGATAATAAAAAAAGTTTAATGAATCGCTCACATCAGTAAATGCAGAAATGAAACGGAATTTAAGCGGGTTGGGAATTTCTTGGGATTTTAGGTTAGGGTGTACGTTTATATAAAATAAATTCTATACTAAAATTGTAATTTTATTAAGAAATTCCAAATCAAGTTAAACTCTGTTCCCACTTACAACTTATATAACTCTCCAAATGATAGGCGGATTATCTACTAAGAGAATTCGTATTTTGTTTATAAGGTTTGTTATATTGAGAGATAAATGTATATAAATGTTTTTATAAAGGTATTTAACAATAGTAGTAGTTGAAAAATCTTGTAGATAACTTTGTATTTTTTTATAGTATTAAGTAAAATAATAATTGATATCTGTAATAAACATTTGTTTTAATTTATTTTCTATATTCCAATATCAAGTCTATTTATATAGTATTTGAAATCAAATATATTTAAATCTACTATATTTGATATATAGTATATATAGGTTAATGGATAGAAGATAGGTCTTTGTACTACTGGTAGTATATTTATTAAAATATTTAGAAAATTCAAAAAAAAATTTTTAAAAAATTTTTATATACAAAAATCTGATAAATATTCTAGTTTAACTAGAATTTATTTTATTTTAAAGTTTATAATAAAATTATTAAAAAAAAATTTTTAGTATACTATCAGTAGTATACTATTTCAATAATTTTAAATAAGATTTTTACTTAAAATAACTAGTAGTAAACATTACTGGTGTATAATTAGCTAATAATAATAAATTAATAGATAGAATTACTGTTTTGTACTAAATTTAGTATGTTTTTTTTTTAATTTATGATTTTGCTATATACATAATAAGATTAGTTACAATTTTCTATCACGATGATATATTAATCTAACTATTTATTTATATCTTGTATAACCACTTTCGTGTAGCAAATTACCCCTAATTTCTTATTAAAGAACTAGTCTAAGGTAGTGTTCCAAATCGGTAGTTGAAAAATAAACTAGTTGCCAACTTTCCAACTAGTCGATTTAAAAAATTTTAAACAACTAATCGATTAATCATTCAACTAGTGCAATTCCGAGAAATTCCGTCTAGTCGGGCAGATCCGAATTAATTCCTTTGGTTTGATTGGCTAATCATCTGATGATGCCACATGATGTGTACAATCGATTAGTTGCAACTATAGTTGGCAACTAATCGATTGGTAAAATATTTACCAACTCGGAACACTAGTCTAAGGTACAACTAATTATAGAAATGAGAAAGGGGATTTCCCAACTAGTGTCCTCTGTTATACCCACTTTTTAACAGGTGATCTAGTTTTCTTCAGATTTCAATTAAGGAACTATAGAAGAATTCTTCATCAAATAAATTATATATCTTTACAAGCAGGTTACACTGCTTCTAAATTATCCTGCTCTTATAGAGTTTACCCATACATTTAAGGATGTGCTACCTCTTTACTCGGGTCTTGCCAAATGGGTGTCCATCTTGCCTAAGTTCTCAGAATTTATATGGCCACAGGACTTATTTTAGGTTTGCACCGTACTTAACTGGCTTGCATTTCTTTGTATAACTTATGCATTATATAGATGCCATGTGGGTCCTTCCACTTTTTAGGTTGGTAGATACCGGATTACAGGACTGAACCTCAACTTTGATAGGCACTATGCAGTATAGCCCTAACTAGGAAGATCGTAATCATAACACAAGTAGAATTCGAATTTTTTTGTTATCGGTGGGATTCGAACCCTAGACATGCCGCTTGGAGGTGACAACTTACCGCTTCACTAAGTCACTACACCCTAGTATGTTTTTAAAAACTCATAAAAATATAAAAAAGAATAAAAGTTGAATTTTTTTTATATACAAAAATTTGAAAATATTCAAAAATAGTTAGATATTTACAAAAATCTGAAAATATTCAAAAATAGTTAGATATTATTTATTTTGATATTATTTATTTTAATATTATTAATAAAATTATTGCAAAAAATTTTTTTAAACCTTGTATTTTTTTGTAATTTGTTGTACTAAATTTAGTATACCTTTTTTTTTTTTTTTTTGTAGTCAAAGTTAGCCTCTTTGGCTCATTGCTTTTATTAGATTATAGAATCATGTGGTGCCCTTTTCAAGGGGGCCCCAGACAAGTACATTTTGACGAGGATACATTTTAGCCATACCTGTGCCTTTTGAGCGCCTAATTTAAGTAGCTACCTATTACTAAGTACTATACTAGATGCCGTACCTATAACCCACTATTATTTGGATTATCCAATTAAACCCTCTGATCTGAGTTTCCTATGCTAATCCATCTAACCTCATCTAGGACATGTGATATATTAGTCAGTCCAAGTTCTAGGATCATCGCAGACTACCTATAGGACTACTGGTATTTAACTGATTCATCCTCGAGAGCATCACCTGCTAGAGCAGTCTGGTACCTACTATTACTGTATTACCTAGTCTACTTCGGTAACTTACGCCTAGGTCGAAACCAAGTACTTGCGAGCCAAAGCCGCTACTGTTACCTACTCAGCCCTTGTAGAGTTCACCCAAACCTCAGCACCTCCTCTTCAAGACAACCCGGTACCTTCCCTTACAGTACCCCCTAGCTGGTCTCTTCAGACTACCAATTCAGATGGCCCGAAAATAACGCCAGTATTTAGTACACCTTTTAAGATTAATTATAACTATAATTTACTAATAAATTTGCAATCTAATAGTTTAATTATTTAAAAATTAGTCAAAAACAAAATTTAAAAATTTTATAGTATAGTCTTCGTTAAAGCAATATTAAATTTAACTGTGTTAAGTTTAATACTGTTAGGAAAACAAAAGCCACAAGTAGTTGACAACGGTCTGGTTACTAACTAATAATTAGTAGCTCTAGTAAAAAGCAAACAAAATTTCTTTGTTATTCTCGACCAGTACATACTGATCAATAGAGGCCTATCCCCAAACACAATTGCCCTGTTCTTCTTAAAGTACCAAAGATATTAAATTATCTAGGAGGCTATAGAATTTGTTGTCACTTTAAATTTTATTATAAACAAGATTTTAGTTTTCTAGTAATAAAATTTTTATTTCTGTACATTAATTTTTACAAAATTTCTTTGAAAAAATTTTGGAGAATCGGTGTTGATCCTGAAAATTGGAGATCAAATACGTGACTAGCTGTCGACAACAAACAACAACAAAACAAGCAAGATGCATTCTCTTTTTGAGAATTAACATTATTATAGCAGTAAATAACAAACACGTATTCTAAGTAAACTACAAATCAAGAAAACTGTAAATGTGTAAAGTAAACAAACATAAATATATATAAATATTCTAGAAACTAATAGAATCTGACAGAAGATTATCAGGAGTAGACAGTGTTGGCTGATAACATATGTCATACTATTTTTTCAATATGACCTTTGTCATATAATTATATGACTTTTTGGTCATAAATCATATCAGTTATTTCAAATATTAGTAAAAAATTTGTTTATTATCTATATTAAAAGTCATAAAGTCATATTAACCTTCGTTATGACAAATGACTTATGACGGGTCATAAAGGTCATATAGGTCATTTAAGGTTATCAGCCAACACTGGCAGTAGATGGTCTTCTTGAACTTGTTTATGAAGCATCTGAAAAAGTACTTAGATATTTAAATAGTAGTGATTAGTAGAAATTCTTCATACATCCTAACTATATGAACTAGACAAAATAGATGCTCTTGCTAGAGATCTTGTGATACAAGACTCAAGCAGAGTCGCAGTATATGAAATAACTTTATATGGCCAATTTCGAGATGCACTTAGAAAACCAGAGAATTTTTTACAAGAAGGCACAATTCAGCAATAGGCAGTTGGAGCTAGAATAGCAAGAACGAACCCATCATCAATAGAATACATCACAGATATGAGTGAAGAAGAGATTAAAAAAGAAGAAAGTAAAATGAAAGGAATTGAGAAGGATGGTCTGGTAGAGAAACCACAAGTATTAAGACTAAAGAAAAGAAGTTCTTCTGAAAAAAAAGACAAATCAGATAAAGATATAAACCAGGTTGTTGAACAAATGCAAGATTTAAGCATCAAAACTGAACAACAAATGGCATCAGACTTTGACTTAGCAGAAGTATTGCAAGCTGCATCACAGGTAGCCTCTTTACAACATCAAACAAGCAACCAAGACAAAGAATCTATAAAAGATTCAGAAAGAGAGAACAATAAGAAAACAAAATAATAGGAAGAAAAAGAATTAAGAAGGACAAAGAAGTCTCAATTGAAAGCATGCTAAAAGACACAATCTTACAGTACCAAAAAAAAACAAAAGTTATTGAAGCACAGTTGAATAACTCTCTGACAGAAGAGAGTAATCTACAAGTTTTCACAGCTACTTTAGAACAAAGTATCTGGTCATCAGAAAATAGATTATATGAAGACAGACAAATATTTTTGGTGAATGTACCAGTGTACAGTCTTCCAGGAAGCTCAGCAGAAGAAAGAGCTGGGTATGTTAAAAGAATTTTTGGTAAAAATAAACACATCAAGAAAGTTGAAGAAAAATTCAAAAATAGAAATACTTGAGTAGAAATAGCCTTTGACTGTGAATTCGAAAGAAATTTAACAATCGACAGAATTAAGAAAAAAGAAGGTGACTGGTTGATTTTAATTCTGGAGGAGAGAAAAGATACCAAAGTGAAGCAAAGTCGCCAAAACAAAAAGCTAAAGGGAAAACAATATTCTTATAAAAGAAATGAAAACTTTGAGAAAGAAATGGTAAACAAAAGGAAAAACAATCTTAACAGCAATGAAAATTCTTTAAGAAAAAAGGATCAATCAACAAAAAAAGAATACGATTACGAAAGACGTATAAACATAGATTGTATTACAGTCTGAGATTTATCAGTAGATATAAAGACACAAGAAATCAAGTATATATGTAAAAAATTAGAAGAGATAGAAGATATATATATTAAGCATAAAAATAGCAGAGCGCTCGCAATAATAGAATTTACTTCAAAGATAGAAGCTAAAGATATACCCTAGGCTTTTCTAATAGGCAATAGAAAATTGGCTAGAATATCAAAGAGGAAGGAAGACCACAAAGAAAGAGATCAAAGACATAAATTTGTAGCAAAACTAACTGATATTACAGAAGGCCTCTCAGAAACCCTCCTCCTTAGACACTTAAAGGACAAAAAGCTAAAGCGGTTTACATCCCTAAAAGAAGAAGCAGGTATATGAAGCAAATTGCAAAAGTAACTTTTGCTACAGAGAAAGAAATGAGAGAAGCACAAAATAAGTCAATAAGATACAATAATCTACAGCTCTTCTGGTTACAAAGTAGACAAAAAAAAATTCAGAGAAGGAAAGCAGTTCAGAAGAGAAAGAAAGTTACAACAACAACCCAAGAGAAAGAAATCAAACATTTAATGAAGAGGAAATCTCATCAAGAGAAGAAAGATATAGTTGTAGAATGTCTTCAGAAGACAGAAGAGATCAAACATCAGAAAGAAAGGATGCTAGCCGAGATGGCAGATGTAGTTAGAGAAATAAAAAGAAAGACTCTAACAAAAGAAGAGACTCAAAAAGCTCGAGCTATAAATATTTCTCAGAAGAAAGGAGTTTGGCAGCAAGAATAGACAAACACTACACAATGCTGCAAGAGATTATGCTACATCTAGAAAAACTTAATGAGTGGCCAAAAGCTGCTCAATGCTTCTAAATTTTGAAGCATTAGTTGAATTAAAGAAAAATAGTGAAGGATTTAAACTTTTTCTGCAGACAAATTTACAAAAGAACATACAACAAGAAAATATTATCCTTCGTCCAATAAACAATACAGGGAGCAAAAAAGAAAAAGAAGTTTTAATCAGAGGTGGATTAAACCCAGTGGAAAATAGAGATATTATATATAATAGAAGTAAAGAGCATATTAATCAAACAAAAGAACCTAACATTGCAACACATAACATTAATGATATTAAAAGCAATGCTCCCAAACTAGATTTCATTCTTGAATAGGCTTTAGATAACAAAATAGATATTCTAGGCATTGTAGAAACAAACATTTCAAGAATCAAAGGAGAATAGCTTTCAAAAACTCAAACCAAATATAGAGGTTTTTGGGCAAACTCAGATTACAACAAAAAGAAAGGCTCTGGAGTTGGTATATTAGTAAATGAACAATAGAAAAAATATATAGAGAATGTTGATCGAATAAGTGAATACTTAATCTCTATAAGTCTAATACTTAAACAGTTAGAGATTGTAGTATTAATACTATATATACCACCAAACAATGAATATGAAAAGAAAAGGATTCACAAAACAATTATCGAAAGGTTTATCAATAGATCCTTCAAAGCTCAATTGATAATCCTAGGAGATTTTAATAAGTAGATCTAGAGTTAGACAGAACACAAAATACTGAAAAGAAAAATTTAAAAAGAGTCACTCTTCTAAATTGGCTACAGAGATAGGTGTTTCAAGATGCTTTTAGAACAATATACTCTAGAGCCAGAAAATTCACCTGGTCAAACGGAGAGACAAGTACAAGAATTGATCAGATTTGGGTGTCAAATGAATTATTATATGGGTTGTTTAATACAGAAATACAAGAAATAGATATCTATCCAAATAGTGATCATGCAGCAGTTTTAACTAGAATAGACTTAAATCATTTAATTGCAATCCAAAGTGCAGCAGATTGTAGAAGAAGTGGTTACATAAGAACAATTTTTCTCTGTAAAAAGGCGAAAAAAGAAAACTGAAAATAGAGTTCTTATCTATTATCCATTTATCCATTTATCTACTAGATATCCAGATCTGAATTTATTCGAATATCCGTTTTACTATTGATATCTGAATAAATATCCAAATATTTGTTGGATTATCTGGATATCAATAGTAAATGGATATCCAGATAAATTCAGATATGGATAAATAGATGCCGGATTTATCCGGATTGGAACTCTAACTGGGAAGATTACAGAAAGCAAATAGACAGTTTGCTTAGTAAAAGTATAAATATTCAAAACTTTCTGAAAGAAGAAAACTACACAAATAAGATAGCAAAACTAGATACACTTTGAGATAATATAAGCAATAGTATCCTTGCTGCAGCAAGATATAATTTGCCAAAGAAAAGATTCAAATTAACAAACTTCTAGAAGAAAAGGAAAATCAAAGAGAACTTATTACAAACCCAAAGGAGGTTTTAAACAAAACACAAGAACACTTTCAAAAACAGTTCAGACCTCATTGTTTTAATCAGGATCTTTGAGAGAAGAACTGAAAGCTTGTCTACAGACCAAATAATGATATACAAGAAGAGTGGTATAATAATTTGGATCAGAATATCTTAGAAGAAAAATAGACTAACATGTTAAAAGATCTGAAGAAAAATACAGCTCCAGGTGTCTTAGGAATTACATATACACTAATCAAAGCAGCAAGTGCATATGTACAAAAAATCTTTCGCCTATTTGCAGAAATTTGTATCAAATCAGGCAAAGTTCCACTGAAATGGAAAATCTCACTAATATATCCAATTCCCAAGGACGTGGACTGGCGTTATAATTTAAATAACGTCAGACCAATTGCATTACTAGAGATATTTAGGAAATGTGTTACTAAAATAGTAACCAAGAGGCTGGCACAAGTGCTGACAGAAAGAAACATTCTAAAAGGTCTGAATTTTGCAGGTTTGCCTGGAAATTCAACAGAAGAACTAATGCAAATCATAAATGCCATAATGGAAGACGCAAAGGACAATAGAAAAGAATTGTGACTAGTTCTATAAGATATGAAAAAGGCTTTTGATTCTGTTTTCCTTGAATTGCTAGAATTAGCAATGAGAAGACTCAAGATTCCTCAGATTATGATAAGATTTATTCTTAATTTATTTGAGAATAGATAGTCGAAGATTATCACAGATCTAGAAACAATACAATGCTTTGAAATAAACAATGATATCGAGTAAGGAAAAGTGATCTCACTATTAGTGTGGAAGATTTTCTATGATCCATTATTGTTAAAAATTAATGAAGACCCAAATCTAGAATATACAGTATCTTAGCAAATCCCATATAATTACAGTATAAACTATGTGACAGAAAAAAGATAGAAGCAGGCAGTAGTCGCATACGCAGATGATACAACATAGATTGCAGAATCCAAAGAACAGATGGAAGAGATAATACAGATTGCAGAAGACTTCTTTAAGCTGAATGACATTCAAATAAATGGAAAGAAGTCCAAATTAATTGTAGTAAATTCAAGAGAAAAGAGAGAAAATAGAAAGATCTTTTTCGGCAATGAATGGATAGCAGAAGAAGAAAAGAATAAAATTACAAGGTTTTTAGGAGTATGGCTTAATAATAATTTAGACGAAGCTCTTGTTAAAGCAAGAGCAAAAAAAATTGTTTAATCAACAGCATAGTTATTAAACCCAAAAAAACTCACAATAGCACAAGCAGCATATATTAATAATATGTATATAGTCCCTAAACTGTGCTATATGTTACAAGTGTCAAGATTTACAGAAAAAACGATTAATGATCTCCAAGCACCAATCCTAAAGTTAGCAAAGTAGAAAATAGAGTTAGCCAGAACCACAAGCAACAGTATAATTCTTCACAGAAGTATAGGAAGTTGCAATGCATTATGGAATCAGCTGCTAATCAAGCAGGTCTCCAGTCTACACTTGCGACTAAATTTAGCTAGACCTGAAGAAATATTAACATCGCTAAGAATAATCCAAGGAATGCAGCTTCTGAGAATAGCTGAAAATACATGGTTAGAAGGTCTGCTGGACACTTGTACCCATCTTTGGAAAAATAATCTAGCCTGCCTTACAATGTTAAAGGCCAAAGAATTAAACATTATATTTAAATTTAGAAGTTCAGAGCTTGCAGGTGAAAACAGAAAATTCAGAATAGCAAATATTCTTGGAAAAAAGTTCACATCTCAAATGGCAACAGTGCTTAGAAAGCTTAACATCATATCTCTTAAGCAACTGTTAACACATACAGGAGATCAGATGATATTCTGGCAGCAACTCAAGATGCTAAGACATCTTTCAGGTAAAAGCAAAAGTGCAAAATGGTTTCGGTTAATAGAAGAAGCAGTAATCGAAAATAGCGAAGATAGGACCGTAAAGTTAGAGTATAGGATAGAAGGTCCTAGTTTTTGGTCACTCCAAATCCCTGCAGACCCTATAAAAGCAGACAAAAGAAAGAAAGAATAGGTCCTAATTAAAGCATCTGAAGTGGCAGAAGATAAAACTATATCAGTTAAAAAAATCATAGGTAAACTGAATAAGAATCTGCTGATTGAACATTGGAAGCCAAGTACAAACCCAAGTACAAAAAGCACAATTTTAGAATGATATGAAGGTTGTGAATTTGACCAAGAGAAAGATGGGAACTCATGTAAAAGTCATTTAAATGAAGGAAAAATTTAAGGTTCTATAACAAGACATATCGACAAATCAAAAGGAAAATCTCTGAAGATTAATCTAGAAATAATACAGTTAACACAAGTCCCCCCCAAACTGAAGATACCAAGAGATGAAAGTATATTCCAAGAAATCAGATTATATGATTTAGACACAGAAATAATCAAGAAGCAGCAGATTAGTCAGGAACTGCAAAACTTTTTATTAGAAAAGAACAGAAAGTTACAACAGTGCTCTATGACACAGTTTAAATTCTATACTGACAGATCTTTAAGAAATGGCAAGAAATAATCTTACTCAGAATCAGACAAAATGGGAGCAAGTTGGATGTTAGTGGATAAAGAAGAGGAAAGAGTAGTAGACAAAAGATATTTTGGAGCAAGAAATTGGCTGTCTTCAACAAAAGCAGAGTTATTTGGAATTTGGAGTACACTGCTTATCACACCTAGCAAAAGGAAGATCAAGATTTATACAGATAGTGCAGTAGCTATAACTAAAGTTGAAGGAAAATAGCAGAATAGGCCAGTTAGACAATGGTTCAAAGAAGGAAACTACAATCTAGTTAGATGCATCTTAGATATAATAGAAATGAAAAAATTATGTGTAGAGTTAGAAAAGGTTAAAGGTTATAGTAACAATAGGTGAAATAATAGAGCAGATAAATTAGCTAGATTAGGATCTAAAATAGAAGATAAAGATAGAATTGTAGAAAAACTTCTACAGGAATCGAATATTTTTTTATGCTGGGAAGAGACAGTAGTTGAAGACCCACGAAAGAATTCTTACGAATGATCCTTGACCTCAAAACAGGAGTAGAATGAAAATCCTCTTCAGCAGTAAGGAAATTAGAACCTGAAGACAGTATACAAACCTAATATTAGCCTATTTTATAGAAAAAGTTTAGAAATCAAAGTGGTATACAATGTACAAGTTCAAAGAAAAATAAACGTTTAGGTGTGCTAGTTAAATGCTTGCATGGAAACTACTATTATTAAAAATATTATCAGCAAGAAAACCAGAACTGTATAATAGTTCAGCATGTATAATATGTGAAAAAGACAAAGAAGACTATGAACACCTGACAACTTGTAAGAAATATAAAGCCAAATGGAAAGATGCAGAGCAACTAGCCTCAAACTTAGCTTGGACAGCCTTATCAAAAGAAACTCGCAATCAGCATAACAAAGCTCAACTCCAGAAGATTCTTTGGGGTTCATCAGAAGAAGAAAGGATTGAAGCTAGGGTCAGTGTACTTAAAGGATTGATCAAGGAAGAGGTTGCAAAAAGAATCCTTGAAACATTAGGAAGCCTAAAAAAATTTAGAAACTACTTGAATACAGCGATCAATACAGCATAGAATCTTTTCTACAAAAATATTTGAAAACCAAGATGTGCATACATAAATGACTAGGAAAAGAAGAAAGGTATAGGCCCAAAAGAAAAGAAAGAGAAAAACACCACTTTCGAAAAGTCAAAATCTAGTATTAAGGAGAAAAAACTGATTTCGTTAAGAGAAAACAGTCAAGATCAAACCAAGGGTAAAGTTAAGAAAAAAAGAAACGATGAAAGTAAAGAGGAGGAAATTAAGAAAAAAAAAGTACTTGGTTAAGAGCTATAAAAGCTTTATTAAAAATAAAACAAAGCCATTCTAGTATAGCTTCACAGGGTAGCTTGGTGCAGCCCTCAGATACAGATAATTTGCTTCAACCAGTGAAACAGACTGTCTCTGGGCATTCAATAGAGTAGCTGGAGAATGTCAGATCTGTAGTTTAGATAGTTAAATATATGTATATATATATGCTTTGATCTAATAAAAATATTAGCAAGGCTGCCAAAATTAAAAAAAAATTTAAAATTAGTAAAAACTAATTATAAAACTATATAAAAAAATTTTCTGGTTTTTATAACATAAAACTGTTTAAACAGACCTGACCGACTGGCTTTTTTTTTAAATTTTATATATAAAAATTTATAAAATTTTTTAAAATTTTTTTAAAAACCCACCCAATTATTAAAACATAAAAAAATTTTTTATAAGTTTTTAAATGTTGATCTGGCTGAATTATGAAAATCAAAAAAATTTTTTTATATAGCCTAATTAAAAGATTATTATTCATTATATTATAATATTTATTGTTTATATTATAAGTTTTTTTCAATTAATATAAATTATTACTATTTATAATAAGTTACTAGTAAGCAATCTAAATTTAGCTAGAATTAAAAAAAATTTTATTAATTAAAATTTTATTTATAAAAATTCTCTAATACTAAATTAGTTTATAATAAGTTGTATTACTTTAAATTTAAAAAATCATATTTATTTTTATTTTTATTTTTTTTTATAGTCTAAATTAGCCTTTTTGGCTTTTTGCTTTTATTAAATTATAAAATTATATGATGTTCTTTTCAAGAAGGCTTCAGACAAGTATATTCTGAGAAAAGTATATATAGACATATGTACAACTTTAATTATTATTTATTTAAAAATTTTGCTATATCTTTATAGTTATACTATACCTGAGATTTGTTTATAGATCTTCTATTGAAACCTCTGATTTGAGTTTCTTATATTAATCTATTTAATCTAACTCAGAACATGCAATATATTTTGTTAGTTCAAGTTTCAAGATC